TCGACCAAAATGTCAAAAACTATAATTAGTTTTTTTAAAAGTAAATAAAATAAAATCAATAAATATTTCAAAAAAATTGTTAGTTGGTTGGCGCCGATATTATTTTTTATTTTTATATGTTTATTTAATATTCAATATTTTTATTTTTGTTTTCGGTCGCTATTGTTCAATATGTTAGTCATTGATGTCCAATTTGTCTAACACTATTGTACATTTGCAATACATAAAAATACAATATAATAATAATAATAATAATAATAATAATAATAATAATAATAATAATAATAATAATTTTATATACTTCGGGCGGTTCTATTATTTTGGCTATTTAAAAAATAAAGTCGTCATTGAACTATAATTAACAATATTTTAAAAGTAAAAATAGATAATCTACTCGAAATATAATTTTTTGAACAACAAATGTTAGTTTGATCGGTCTCGATTCATGTCGTGCGTATGATAGTAATTAATGTTCAATTCGTCTAATGATATTGTGCGCTCGTATCACATATGTTTTTTTTATTGTTTGTCACAAACTAAATTAAAATTTAATTGGAACAAATGTTTTTTTTTCGAACACTTAACCGTAAATAGCATAAACAAACAAAATAATTATTATTATATTATAAAGTTACATTTAACTTTTTAATATATATATTGAATATTTATATTAATCATCATTGAAAAGCCATATATATATATATGAAATATCGAAATTAATAATGTGCACTCATATATAAAGAAATGTGCATTTAGTCTAGTATTATTGTGCAGTCTGAATAGCGTGAATAGCGTGATGTTTCTATATTCATTTCAATTTTAGAAAAAAAAAAAATCAATAATTTGTACTTTAATTGATATTATTGTGCATCTATCAAACTTTTTATATTATAAAAAAGTATATTCAATATTTCGAATGTTGATTAATTACTATTTTATTTTATTGTTAATAATATATATTTTAGATAATATATATATATATATATAAACAATTTTCTAAATAGTTAGATCTATTTTTTTTATTTAATTATTTATTTTTAATAAAGTAGAAGTTGGAATGAAATGTGCATTTGGTCTGCCTCTAATGTGCCCTCTAGCTTCCTCTAATGTGCATCTTATGAATTATGTAGTGTATGATTTTTTCTTAGTCGGTTGTTAATCGGATTAACGTAAACAATAAAAATAAATTGCATTTTATATTTTTAAAGATATATTTAATATTTTAATATTTTTATAAAATAATTTTATATTATTTTTGGTTTATAATACAAAATATATATGTTTAAAAATATATATTTATATACAAAATAATATGGTTTATATATTTTCTATAAATTACAAATTTTCTCCATGGAGTAAATTTAGAATATAGTTATTTTTTTTTTGAATTCACACATTTACCCCAATAGCTTAATTGCAATTAATTAAAACTCTTAAAATTGCAAACGGGTCCTTGTAGCTTATCAAATTTTCAAACACTAGTCCTTAGCCATAAATCCATTTCTCAGCTCTTCTTCCACCCGTGGCAGACCTCCGACCGGCCACACCGACCCAGTCCTGTCGCTTATCGTCTCTCCGGCGATCTCTCGCCGGTTTTACATTTTTTTTATGTTTGTCCGACCAGCGGCGGCGTTAGAGGGCTCAAGCCGCCATACTCACGGCGAGTTAACGGCGACGACCAGAGGTGTTAAAGGGTGATGAGCAGCGGTTGAGTTCTCTCTCTTCGAACGACGACCCGAACGACATGTGGTGGTTGAAATCGACACGCCACCCTTGTTGTCTCATTCGCCGACGAAGTTGAGGCGAACCACCACAGAGAGGGGCGACGCCGGCGGTGCGTGGTGGTGGAACAGGTGTCGTCTCGACCTCTGAAAACCGAGCGACGACCCGCCTGAAGAGGAGACTCGTGACGAGGGCGAGGGGCGGAATCGAAAATGTCCGGCGAGGTGGAAGACAACGGCGACGACTAGCAGGTGGACGTCAGCGGCGGAGGAAGGCGACAGTTGCAGCGGCCGACGGTTTTGTGTGTGTGTGGGATTGTGTGTGTTTCGGTGTGTGTGCGTGTTTAATGTGTACAGAGAACGTGTAGTTAATGTGTACAGAGAGTGGGTAATGGGGTGGGTATGGGGATGCTGTGTATAA